GGGGAGGAGGCAGGTGCAGGGGACTCTCTGCCCCCACTGCTCCCTCTCCCCACTCCCCAGCCTCAGAAACCTGTCCCCACTGGCACCCTGTTCCCTCTCCCCAGCCTCCAGCCCCCAGCCACAGAACTCCATCCCCAACCACCTGCCCCCCAGCCCCTCGGCCTCCAGCCACAGAAATCCAGCCCCAGCCCCCCTCTCCCCAGCACAGAACCAAAAACCTTAGTCTATATCTGCCCTTGGGGGTGGGGGGATGCCGATTGCATGGTTTGCCTAGGGCTCCAGTTGCTGGCAGCTAGTCTAGGGCCGCCCCGGTCATCAACGTACCATAAGTAGACAGAGGATGCTAGGGGGTGAGAGCTGAGGAAATGTTATTCAAGGTCAGCTGAAAGACACTAGCCTGTTGTGGGGCCATGCGGGTGACCATGGCCGTGCTGCCAATTGAAGATACAAATTGTCTCCAAATCAGAAGTAGCTGTGGGTGAGGACAAAGTCACAGAGTTCCGTAACCAGGTGTGCAGGGGTGTCATCAGGGATGGTTTTCCTGACAGTCTGTAATGTGTCTTCATGTGGAATGTTGGTATAAAGAGCTTCTACATCCATGGTGGCCAGGATGGTATTTTTAGGTGTTTCCAATTCAAATAGCTCTCTTTACAGGTCTCCCTTTCCTTATACTCTTTAAAAACTACTGGTCAAAAAGAGTGATACATGAATAAGACTTTATGACTAGGATTTTAAGAGTACTCTGTTGGCCAGTTTTTCTCCTGGTATCATTAATAGGAGTTTTAGTTTTATTTCAGTGGAAGCACAATCAGATCAATGCTGAGTGCTTTTGAAAATTCCACCCAGACTGTTGACTTTTTTCCCTTCCATTCCTTTGTGTTGGTGTGTGCACGTTTTGGATTCCAAAGTCCAAAGAATCGGAATTTCTGACCAGAAAACCAGATCTGCACATTTTTCTTAGAGATTCATTCTCCTTTACTTTCAAAATGTCTATTGCGTAGTCAATGTTTTCTCAATTCCCCTCTTTTGTCTAACAATGCTAAAAAAAAAGTTGAAGGAATGAGTTGCCCACTCTCTC